AGAGTGAGATCACTTGTGTATTATTATTGTGAAAACACTTATGCATTATAAATTAATCAATAACTTTTGTCGTTGTTGTGATATTATCTGTCTAATGTGATGTCATGTCTCATCACTACTTTTACAGTTTATCTAGGATTACATCACGCTTCCAAGGGACAACAATAGTAAAACATCTGCTACAAGATGACACAACATCCATCTTTCCTTTTAGTCACTCACTGAGTAACTGCAATATTATGTTTAGTATTTTGAAGTGTATCCTGAATACTTAGACACTTCCACTCTCATTTGATTAAAATCATTGTGAAATATGTGGTAAGATCACAATATTATGTTTGTAATTCATATATGCATTATCTGGTAAAGCCTAAAGTGCTTGATAAAATACCACAATGTATTCCTTGGAGTATTGCAAAGTAAACTAGTAGCCATCCATCCATCCATCCATTTTCTTCCGCTTTATCCGTTGCCGGGTCGCGGGGGCAGCAGTCTAAGCAGAGACGCCCAGACTTCCCTATCCACACACACTTCCTCCAGCTCGTCCGGGGGGACCCCTAGGCGTTCCCAGGCCAGCTGAGAGACATAGTCCCTCCAGCGTGTCCTAGGTCTTCCGCGGGGCCTCCTCCCGGTGGGACGTGCCCGGAACACCTCCCCAGGGAGGCGTCCAGGAGGCATCCGGAACAGATGCCCGAGCCACCTCAACTGGTTCCTCTCGACGTGGAGAAGCAGCGGCTCTACTCCGAGCTCCTCCCGTGTGACTGAGCTCCTCACCCTATCTCTAAGGGAGCGCCCAGCCACTCTGCGGAGGAAGCTCATTTCGACCGCTTGTATCCGCGATCTCGTTCTTTCGGTCATTACCCAAAGCTCATGACCATAGGTGAGGGAGGGAACGAAGATTGACCGGTAAATCGAGAGCTTTGCCTTTCGGCTCAGCTCCCTCTTTACCACAACGGTCCGATACAGCGACCGCATCACTGCGCACGCTGCACCGATCCGCCTGTCAATCTCACGCTCCATTCTTCCCTCACTCGTGAACAAGACCCCGAGATACTTGAACTCCTCCACTTGAGGAAGGACCTCTCCACCCACCTGAAGAGGGCAGGGCACCTTTTTCCGGTCGAGCACCATGGCCTCAGATTTGGAGGTGCTGATTCTCATCCCAGCCGCTTCACACTCGGCTGCAAACCGTCCCAGTGAATGCTGCAGGTCCTGGTTCGTTGGAGCCAACAGGACAACATCGTCCGCAAACAGCAGAGATGAAATCCTGTGGTCCCCGAACCGGACCCCCTCCGACCCCTGGCTGCGCCTAGATATTCTGTCCATAAATACAGTGAACAGAACCGGTGACAAAGGGCAGCCCTGTCGGAGGCCAACATTCACCGGGAACAGATCTGACTTACTGCCGGCAATGCGAACACAGCTCTGGCTCCGGTCATACAGGGACCGGATGGCCCTCAGCAGAGGACCCCCGACCCCGTACTCCCGGAGAACCCCCCAAAGGACACCCCGGGGAACACAGTCGAACGCCTTCTCCAAATCCACAAAGCACATGTGGACAGGTTGGGCGAACTCCCATGAACCCTCGAGTATCCGATGGAGAGTATAGAGCTGGTCCAGTGTTCCGCGACCGGGACGAAAACCACACTGCTCCTCCTGGATCCGGATTCGACCATCGGCCGTAGCCTCCTCTCCAGTACCTTGGAGTAGACCTTACCGGGGAGGCTGAGGAGTGTGATCCCACGATAATTGGAACACACCCTCCGGTCCCCCTTCTTATAGAGAGGGACCACCACCCCGGTCTGCCACTCCATTGGCACCGCCCCCGATCGCCACGCGATGTTGCAGAGACGTGTCAGCCAAGACAGTCCTACAACATCCAGAGACTTTAGATAATCAGGGCGGATCTCATCCACACCCGGAGCCTTGCCACCATGGAGGCTACCAACCACCTTGGTGACCTCAGCCAGGGAGATGGATGTATCCGCCCCAGCATCCTCAGCCTCTGCCTCTGAGACAGAGGACGTGACGGGGGGATTGAGGAGAACCTCAAAGTATTCCTTCCACCGCCCGACAATATCCCCCGTTGAGGTCAGCAGCTCTCCACCCGCACCGTACATGGTGTTGGCAAAGAACTGCTTCCCCCTCCTGAGGCGCCGGACGGTTTGCCAGAATTTCTTTGAGGCTGACCAATAGTCATGCTCCATGGACTCTCCGAACTCCTCCCAGTCCCGGGTTTTTGCCTCTGCAACAGCCCGGGCTGCGGCACGCTTGGCCTGCCGGTACTGGACAGCTGCCTCAGGAGTCCCCCGAACCATCATGGCTCGATAGGACTCCTTCTTCAGCCTGACAGCTTCCCTTACTGCCGGTGTCCACCACCGGGTTCGGGGGTTGCCGCCGGGACCAGCACCAGAGACCTTGCGACCACAGCTACGGGCCGCCGCATCGGCGATTGAGGCAGAGAACATGGTCCACTCGGACTCCATGTCCCCCTCCTCCACCGGGACCTGGGAGAAACTCTCCCGGAGGTGTGAGTTGAAAGTCCGTCTGACAGGGGGCTCAGCGAGACGTTCCCAGCAGACCCTCACTATACGCTTGGGTCTGCCAGGTCTGACCGGCTTCTTCCCCTGCCAGCGGATCCAACTCACGACCAGGTGATGATCGGTTGACAGCTCCGCCCCTCTCTTTACCCGAGTGTCCGAGACACGCGGTCGAAGGTCAGATGATACGACAACAAAGTCGATCATCGACCTCCGGCCTAGGGTGTCCTGGTGCCACGTGCACTGGTGGACACCCTTGTGCTCGAACATGGTGTTCGTGATGGACAAACTGTGACTGGCACAGAAGTCCAACAACTGAACACCGCTCGGGTTCAGATCAGGGGGGCCGCTCTTCCCGATCACCCCTCTCCAAGTGTCACTGGCGTTTCCCACATGGGCGTTGAAGTCCCCCAGGAGAATAACGGAGTCCCCGGGCGGTGCACCGTCCAGTACCCCTCCCAAGGACTCCAAGAAGGCCGGGTACTCTGCACTGCTGTTAGGCCCGTAGGCCGTCACAACAGTGAGAGACTTGTCCCCCACCCGGAGGCGGAGGGACGCGACCCTCTCATTCACCGGGGAGAACTCCAACACGTGGCGGCTGAGATGGGGGGCAATGAGAATGGCCACCCCAGCTCGCCGCCTCTCCCCGCGGGAAACACCAGAAAAGTGGAGCGTCCAACCCCTCTCAAGGAGTTGGGTTCCAGAGCCCAAGCTGTGTGTGGAGGTGAGGCCGACTATCTCTAGTCGGTATCGCTCAACCTCCCCCACAAGCTCGGGCTCCTTCCCCCCCAGTGAGGTGACGTTCCACGTCCCGAGAGCCAGCTGTTGTGTGTGTGGACTGGGTCGTCGAGGTCTCCGCCTTCGACTGCTGCCCAGTCCTCTCTGCACCATGCCACCACGGACCCCTCTGCAGGTGGTGGGCCCACAGGAGGGACTGCCCACGTCGTCCATTCGGGCTGAGCCCGGCCGGGCCCCGTGGGCTAAGGCCCGGCCACCAGGCGCTCGCCTACGAGCCCCGACCCCAGGCCTGGCTCCAGGGTGGGGCCCCGGCTGCGCCATGCCGGGCGACGTCACTGGTTTCGTATGAGTGCTGTCCATGGTGTCTTCTGGACTGCTCTTTGTCTGACTCGTCACACGAGACCTGTCTGCCATGGGAGGCCCTACCAGGGGCATGAAGCCCCAGACAGCATAGCTCCCAGGATCATCCGAGTACTCAAACTCCCCCACCACGTTAAGGTGGCAGTCCAGGGGGGAGAAAAAAAAACTAGTAGCCACCAAAAGTAATAGTAACTTCTCTGAGGTTAAAGGTTAAGGTATACTTCATTTATCCCCATAGGGCAGATCTTGTTGCTCAGTTTGGTCAGTACTACCAGAGCTGGAGGATTATACCATTTTTACATGTTTTTAGTAATAGGGGAAACCGGAGCACCTGGAGGAAACCGGAGCACCTGGGGGAAACCAAAGTACTGTAGACACGGGGAGAACATGCAAACTCCAATCAGAATTACACTTTTCCAATTGGAATCCAAACTCAGGACCTTCTTGCTGAGAAGCGAGAGTGCTAACCACTGGGCCACCGTGCCGCCCAATGTATTAATCGACGTATTACGGTAGGAAACCTTTGAAAGTTGTGATCGTTGCAAGCAATGGATCAAAGCAATCACATACAAAGAAGAGCAGTAACATAATTGCAGCAATTAAAGGATAACTCACCCTCAAATCCACTTTTTTTAGCTGATAAACGGTATAAATGAGTGTCCAATAGTGTTGTCTACATATCCTGGTCATAATCTTGTCACTTTGGCGCAAATTAGTTGAAAGTTAAACTTTCTGCCTAAAACCGTCTGTGAGGCGCCATCTGCTGGCGACCTGTATTACTACATTTGAATCTTGAATCTGGCGCCAACACTGGCACAGAAGTTGGACCTGACGTCTGCAAGTTGGACCTGACGTCACAGCCCCCCGCCCAGAACAATGTAAACGGCCCAGTCTCGTTCACGCCCCCTTTAGTCCTCCAGGCTACGCCCATTTAGAGGAAGATTTGAACAGGAAATGTGAGTGACGTAAGCTCCGAGGAGCGGGGGTGAGAACCACTTTAAATACATATACATAAATGATCATTTAGAAAGAGAGAGAAATAAGAGTTCAGAGAGAAAGAGGAGAAAGAGAAAGATAAGTTGAGAGAAAGAGAAAGGGGGAGAGAGAAAGAGAAGATGAGAGAAAGAGAAAGGGGGAGAGAGAAAGAGAAGATGAGAGAAAGAGAAAGGGGGAGAGAGAAAGAGAAGATGAGAGAAAGAGAAAAAAAAACGAACCTCATTCTGTCGTCTGACCTTTCATTTAAAGTACAGAGCAAATGACCAAGCCCCTAACGCCACCCTCTTGTGGGTTGCATCCCAACACTAAGTGCGCCTATCGCTAACACTAAACGCACATGTCGCTAACACAAATCTTGCGTGTTACCTGCAGCAGAGTGGATGAGGACGCTCTGGTTGGGCCGCAGGTGTCCGAAGTCGAACAGCATCATGTAGGCAGTGATGTAGTTGACGGGGAGTGCGGCCGCCTCCTCAAAGCTCATGCCCTCGGGGATCAGGAAGGTGTGGTTCACTGGGGCCACCACCACCTCCTGCCAGAGTCCGAACCGATTCAGCACCATCACCTTATCCCCCACCTGCGACATAAGGGCCATGTTAGGAGGACCCAAACAGGTACACAGAAGTAATCAAGTAAAGTCAACAGAAAGAAGGGTTAAAGCAGTATAATTATTAACTATGACCTTAATTAAACATACAGCAGCCCTTCATAACAGAATGTGTCACACTCAAATCAGTCCCCGGTGTACAAAGCATGCAGTGACGTTTCCACATTAACAACATGGACTGTATATTACGTATGAAGGATCTGATATCATAAAGTCATTAATAGTCCAGCATCATCGTTACCTAACCCTAAGTTGACTTTAACCTTTACTCAATTCTTAACCCAAACCCCTAAACCTCACCTTATTTCTAAGTCTAACCAAAGTGAACCCCAGCCCTAACCTGTCATCCCTAACCCTAACCCTACTCTAACCCTAACTCAATGAAATAATGATCCAGGACAAGCAACTTTGATATTGATCCTGGACTGGACTGGAATGACAATGCTAACCTGCTAGCTCTATAAAGCCAAAAATGAAAGTGCTTTGGCTCCCATTGGCCTCTGAATTTGAAACTGCTTGTGTCGCTATTTTGGGCTTCAACAAATCTGTTGTTCACCGCTCTGTTATTTTGGTAATCTTTGTAAATCCAGCCCTACAAATTGACCAATCTTGTCCCTTCTGTTCCCAAATTCGTCTGACAAATAAGTGGAAACCTGAGTGGCTCTTTGGTTGCTACAGTAGGTCCATGAATCCAGATTCCCATCCATAGAGCCTGTTTGAGTAAGCTCTAATGCGGCAAACACTGTGGGTGTCGCCAGGACTCAATTAGTCCACTCCAATCAATATAATCTAAACAAAACATATGCATCCAAGCTTCAGGTTGCAAAATGAATCACACCAAAAATTACTTTAGTTGCCAAAATGAATACACAGAGATTTGAGACAAACCTGGTCACATGAACTCCATGCTTCTTAATCATGCCATCACCAAAATCCAAAGATGTATTTAGAAAACCTGAAATGACCCAAGGTATGGCATGAACCCGTATTGATTTAATCACAAGTCAGGCTTTATTATACCAAGCCAAATGCTTGATATGAAAGAGTGATGGCAACCTTTCAAGCCAAATATACGCCGCTGTAATACATTTAAGTACTTCTCAGGAGCTGCCAAACCTTGTCCTTTCACATCACCTAAATGTCTGCAGAGGCATCAGTCCTCACATACTAAATGTATTTGAGAGTTGTGTTTTGGACATTATTGAGGAGAGTTCAATTACGGAAGAAATTTAACATTTTGAGATCAGATATTACACTTCTTGAAGAAATTCTTGGATCAATTTTAGTCCAACATGAAAAATCTTAGTTTGAAATCCAATGATTACTTGATTGTGTTTTAATACACAGATATGACACAGGCCAAAGAATACATGCATGTCAAAACTTGTGTGAAAACACCAAACTATTGTGTATAGTGATAGGATTACTTTGTTGCGGTTTGAAAGTAAGGTACCCCAGCTTTAAACTAAAAGTGAAACGACTATTGCAAAACCCGTAGGCTGTACTACTGTTTCTACTACAAAAAACTACAAGAGTCTCTAAGGACAGTGACGATCTGGGACATTTATTAACTTTTATGGACGTTAGTTATCTACCCTATGAACCAATGGTTCGTATGCTTTCCCTGATTTGTTGTTGATAAATTGACAACTTTGTAAAGTCCTCCATGACGGCTGCTGTGGTGATTTAGAGCTATACAAAAATAAATTGAATTGAATACAATAAGACTAGCATGCTGTATTGTGGACAGCCTTCCCTACAAGAGACATTGGCACTTGTTTCCCCCGTGGCAGCCTGGTGTGAGCTGCCACCTGCCTGGCTGTGCTCCATCCCAGTAGGACGGGCAGGAGCGGCACGGTTACACAGGAATAGTAGATTAAGTGTTTTGTGGTTCTCTACAACACTCTGGACATGCGGATCATCCTACAAACAAATAGATAAAAAAAGTGCTCGAGCAAAAACAAGCGGGGCATTGAAGTGGAGCTGAGTGGGATTGGTAACCACGGCAGCACTGGTTTCAGAAACAGAAAAATACTGAACGTCGGAGGAATTAGGTCAGGGATAAAGCGGTCAATTTAACCAAGTAGCTACTATTGGAGTTGTTTTTGTTGGTGAAGTGAAGCGCAAAATAGTCTGGTATTAGTCTGAACAGTCTCGAGAGATCAAAACAAAGGCACCACAATGACATGACAATTAATACGAGAACTCCCAAAGCAGTCAATTTGACGGCCTTCAATTATGGAAGTGTGATTACTCAGGGGATGTACCTTTGTGGTCTTCATAACTTAGTGATTTTTTCTGTATCTAAATGTAGTATATTTATATCTTATGGTTACCATAGCAACACACTTTTACTTGCAGCAATTAGTATTTGGTAGCCATTGAACAAACTATATTCCTGTATTTCAAGTTTGAAAAAGGCAAAAAAGTGAAACGTATTTAGGAGAATTTCTCAGAACTCTATTGGTTTGAATGGGAGCAGTCAAAATGACGGCTGTGGGAGTTCTAGTAGTGTCAGAATTCTGGGAGTTCAGTATGTAATAAAATCAATGCAGCCAGTTACTCAATTTTTCTCATGCATGAACTGTCAAGTTATTTGGTGATATGTTTGTGCAAATTCCCCACTTGAAAGGGATAAACCCTCCACATATGAGTTTGAACTGGATTTCACTCAATGATCAGCCATTGTTCTTGATTCATGCCATTTATTTGGCTTGGTTTCAGCTTTAGGTTCAGGTGAAAAACCTCAAAAGGAGAACAGAAACATACAGTCATTTTCCTATGCAAATAAACAGTCTTCTAATTGCACCTTCAACAAATAATGTTCCTGCTAGTAAACAAAATAGTATCTTATTTTAAATAATATTTACCCCCAAATGAGTTAATCTATATTTTAACCTGGTTTTAAGCAAATACCAGTAAACTGTGTGTTTAAGACCTTTTTTAAACATTCTTATACATTTTATAGTTGTATTGTAGTATTAACACATGCCAATTAACCAAATGAGTTACAAACTAAAGTCTATTTTCACAAAAGTAAAGTCTATTCCCTAAGTTTTTAACCACATTTGAAACTTAAAGAAGCTATACCCGATTTTTTTTCTAAGTAGTTCATAAAAATGCTTTTTACTACATACAAGTTGTATCATAATACATCATTTAATTGAAAACTTGAGGTAATTGATTCAGCTGTGTAAGAATTACAAGCAGTGAAAAGTGCTGAGTAGAGTCTGAGCGGGCCGCTCTTTCTCCTCCGCTCACAGAACGAGCAGCGAACAGCCAGCGTCCTCTAGCCCCTACAGCGCTGGACTTCAAAATTCGAATATAATTCTAAAATAAAAAATGATGAAAAAAATTATTGAATAAAAAAATTTAACAAATATTAGACAACCCTTGTAATTCGAAATGTATTGAATGACTGCAAATAAAATAGTTAGCTCCCAAAGGTTTCACCGGGACGTGCTAGGCAGGTAACAGCTAAGCTAGCTAGCTGTTTCATGGTAACTTCCGGGTTTTTCGCAATCGCTTTTTGTCACATTGAAACAGTATTTTTGTCATGAAAACGTTAACAGCAAATTCTGAAATCATCCGTGCATGTGTGTCAAGGATGTATATGTGTACTGTATTGTCCGATTGACGTTTAATGGTGTTGATTGATAGATATGTAGTTGTTTATTGAGCGTGGCTAGCTCCGCTAGCTTCTCTACACAGACAAGTGTGTAGTGACAGGCGCTAATAGCGTTTTGTACTTGCAGAGTAATGGCAGTATTTTACACACCTGAATTACAAACAGGTTGCATTGGGGCTTCGGTCATTATTGGTTTGAGAGTTCTGTTATCAAGAAAAATGATCGGAAGAATTGCTGCTGCTGCTTTGAGTAGCTCTATAACAAATTATAATTAAATATTAGAATATATTCTAAGGTTTTAAATCAATACATTCGGACGCGAAACTAGCGGTATTCTTTTACTTATATATTGTGTTAGCAGTGCGTTGCTTTAGTGCCATTTCATCAGTGATTGTTGTACAGCTTACAAGAAGTTGCGCTAATGCTAATGTTAGCATATGTATCAGATCGCAAATAAAACTAGGTGGCTCTGTGTTATGAGAAATGAGAAGCCATTGAGCGAGTTGGGGGGCGGTGCTAAACATTCAAACATTGCAGAAACGGGTATAGCGCCTTTAATACATTATCTTAGCTTTTTATCAAAGGATCAACAGTTCTGGTTTTAGCACATTTTTAAAGTAATATATTTCAACATTTTAACACTAAGTACTTGATTTTAACATTTTATCACTAAGTGATTGATTTTTACATGATTGCGAACTGCGTTTTCCAAACATGATCCGTATACATGAAACATTCAGTTTTTAAACTTAACATTTTTCATAATTTTAACATAACGCGAATATAAGGCGAATTTTGTTAATTAGTAGTGAACATAATATTAACGAACACAGACTAGTTAACCCGCATTCCTCCCTGGAGTTAGGTTTTGTTTTCTCTAACAACAGTACAATTTATAAACAACAATCAAACAAAGTAACTGTTTTTTGAGTCCGTGTTTCCTCTCCTCCCAAGGGCTCTTGAACGCGTCGCCGCGTAAGTTCAAGCGATTGCAAGTGAGGAACGGCGCTTACCGGCTGTCTCTCATGGGGTTGTGAGAGGGTTGCTCTTGCACAGTTTTTGTCTTTATTGTTGTCTTTTTGCGCTGCTTGGCCGCTGAGATCGCTTGTCCCACTCGAACTCACACACAGAAGTGTCCGTGTCCGTCCCTTTTAACTACCCCGGGTGGATGCAGATCACGCAGGTGAGCCGTTCCACCCACCATTTCCCTCCGGTGAGGAGGGGGAGCGGGACTACAACGCAGTTCGCCAGCACACCTCCCACTCGATCTTTGCACGGGAACCGATGGGGAGATCGTAAACCAGAAACGGCGAACTGCAGGTAAGGACCAACTTCAAGCTTA